TTGAGTACCGATTGGGACTCGATTTTGGAAATTAATTATATATTTGGACTCGGTAGGTTATGGGCTATCGGATTTTGGTATTGGTTTCGGAAATAGGAACGCAGGACTTTTTGGAATTTCTTCAAAGATCTAAGCTTTATGGATTGGGATGATGCTTGGATGATGCTTGACTTGGATTCTCTCAGTTGGAGAGCTAGATCGAGGTTTTTACATGATTCACGGTTGAAGAATAGCCTGGATGAGGTAAGTAACTTGTCTAAACTTGGATTTGAGGATGTTATTCCTGCCTTGATCTGTTTCATATGTTACTTTCTTATGCTATGGTGGGTTGTGAGAGGACTCGGTTATTCATCCGTATGTTGTGGTTTTTGTTTAGGACTTGTGGTGATGATGAGCGAGATGGATCTTAAGTTATTTACTTGCTTATTGTACCATAGTAGTGCTTGCCCTTTTATAGCGCAATATGCTATTCGTCTTCCCATGGTTATATTTATGAAATATACGTGCTTGTTGTGGTCACACAGTATTTAGTGAGTATGAGCATTTTGGCTCGGTAGGTATTCCGATATAGATTAGAATATGTGGATGGGGTTGCATGCCATAACGGTATTATATGTGGATCGGGTCGCATGCCGCAACGAGATGTTAATCGGGTGTGACCCCTCGGGTTCGTTTCATGTATTTTATTTCTCCCTTATGAGATGGATTCATAGCATTATGCTCTTATGGTTATATCTGTTTAGCTTGTGGATTGTTCCCTTTATGGTTCTCTTTTCATTATTGATCATATTTGAGCGATTGTTTGTTGGTGCACGGATCGCGTCATATAAGGTTCTTGATAGTATTTGATGTGGCATGTCAGTTGAGCAGCTTGTACTAGGTGAGACAAGTTTTGGACAATTGTTCCCTTTATGGTTCTCTTTCCATTATTGATCGTATTTGAGCGGTTGTTTGTTGGTGCACAAGTGTCATATGAGGTTCTTGATAATATTTGATGTGGCCTATCGCTCGAGCAGCTTGTACTGGGTGAGACGAGTTTTTGGACCTGGAAACAGTACTATCAAATTTGTATAAGGTATGTTTGGAAGAAGAATGTCACTAGTCAGTTCAAAATTTACCAATGGTTATCATCGGGCGAGAGAACTCCATGACTTATTGATTCGACAAATGGTTATGAGTTTCTACACGTGTCTAGTACCATTAGCAGTGTTGCAATGTTTGGAACAAGGTTTTATTTGTCATAAGGTATCTTACCGGTACTGGGTTTCGTTATGAGCAATTATTATGGTTGAAAGACATTACTCTGGGAATGTGAGTTATGCGTACGTCGTGTGGTTATGAGCAGTTATTTGGATGTTCCTAGAAGGTTTTTGCTCTATTTGTTGAAAGTTGGCAATTTGAAGAATTTGGAGAGTTCACAAGGTTGACTTTAAGGCCTTCGGGGTCAGATTGTAGTTTCGAGAATTAGAATAGGTCTGTTTTGTTATTTGGGACCAGTGTGCAATGTTTGGGTTCATTATAGATTGGTCAGATGTGTATTAGACGCTTGGTTCGAAGTTGGAAGTTTATGAACTTAAGAGATTGATTTTGTTCGATGACTCGTGGTTTTGATGTTAATTGTGGTGTTTTGAGCCTTCAGATAAGTTTGTATTATCTATATGGACTTGTTGGCATGTTTGGACGGGGTCCCGAGGGGCTCGGGGTTAGGTTTGGGGTAGCTTCAGATTATTTTTAGCTACTTTGTGATTGCTGATGTGTTGATGTTATGTTAGTCTTCACATTCACGGTCAAAGGATCGCGTTTGCATAGAGTAATTTTGGCCACTAGGTTTCTTTGCTTCATTTTCGTGAGAGGATGGGAGCGTTTGTGATGAGGATGTGCCCATCTAGGGTGTAGGCCTTCGTGTTCGTGATAGGTTGCTCGCGTTCGCGGAAGGCTGGTAAGTTGGCGATTGCGTTCGCGATGGTCACCTGCGTTTGTGATGAAGTAGTCTTGGAGGAAGGTTGTTTGTGCTTCGCGATCGCGATGAGTATTGTTGGGCAGAGTACTTAAGTTGCCAATTTCGGAACTTTGTCTATTATTTCATATTTTGAGCCCTAAACTTCGAGAAGAGGAGATTTTGAAGAGCAATTTCTCTACTACATTAGAGGTAAGCAATTTTCACGTGAATTTGGCTTTATATCTTGATTACCGATGGATTTCTACACCTAACTTGGACTTTTGAAAGGAAATTTGGGATTTTTGCCTACACTTTAAGAGAGTATATTTTGGGAATTTGAGTACCAATTTGGACTCGATTTTGGAAATTATCTATATATTTGGACTCGGCAGGTTATGAGTTATCGAATTTTGGTATTGGTTTCGGATTTTGGGCACACGAGCTCGAATTGACTTTTGGGAATTTTTTCAAATATCAAAACCTTATGGATTGGAATCACTTCCTATGGCATTGTTGATTTCCTTGGGTGATGTTTGGCTTGGATTTGTGCGATTGGAGAGCTAGATCGAGGTTATTACATGATTCAAGATTGAAGACTAGCCTGAATGATGTAGGTAACTTGTCTAAACTTTGATTTGAGAGTAGTTTCCTATTTGCTATGGTATTTGTTATGTGACGGAGGTGACGTATATGCGAGGTGACGAGCGTATATATGTGCACCGTGATTTCTCATAATTCGGGTAGTTCTTAGGCTATCATGGGCCTTGTTTTGCTATCATGCTTCTTTTATATCATGTTTTCTCCATTTGTATGACTACGTGAGTTATTATTCATGTTAGAAATCATGTTCTAAGCTAGCTGCTTAATTGTTTGAGATATGATAAGGTTATTTTTGCTATGTTGAGTTATTTGCCTTGGCTGTAGTCAAACAATTCAGTCATGACAATTATATACATATATTATATCTCTGTGTATGTGCACTTTTGATATGTTATCTCACATGTTATTGGTGTCCTTGTACATGACACAAGTTTGAGCTGAATCTGTGGTACATTTGTGATATTCCGTGTGGTATATTAAATTATGTTTCTGTAAGATGTTGGCATATGGAGACTTGACTAGATTGATGATTGATCTTGGGCCATAAAGCCGTGTTGGTATAGAGATTGAGGTGACGTGTACGCCAGGCCCCATAATGCTCTAAGTGGTACTGTTTAGGGGGCGACGCGTGCACCAAGCCTAATGTTGGGCTATATGATATTGATCGTTGACTTAGATCCGATTAGAGCTTAGGCAAGGACCCGCCTATTCAGAGTCAGGTATTTGCTATGAGCAGACACATGGTCATATATGTGCTTGAGTGAGGGACTTATGTTAGGCACACGTATAGTGATGAGCGTGTGTATATGTATGTGTAAGGGTCCATGGGCTTTGAGTCAGGCACCGTGAGCGTGCATAGTGAAGTTTAGGGGCATTGCTAGGCACTATGAATGTGCTGAGAGTTGTTTATAATTAATGATTTAACTGTAATAATTATTGATCTGGCATGTATGACTGACATGAAGACATGGAGCTGTATTAACCCTCACGTTAGTGGGTATTTGGTAACTGTATGTGAGGATTTGAGTTCGATATCACAGTTTTATCCTGTTAAATACCTGCTTAAGTGAATTCTATGGAAGTTGGTGCCTTGTTTGTTATATCTGAAAGGCATGCCTTTTTTTTCCTCTTATTGTGTTTAGCTGAGCTTATTATCATTTGAGTTGTTCTCTTTCATATACTATTATTCTTCTGTTATTGTTATTGTTGGCTGTGAAAAGTGAGCATCAGACCTTGCCTAGTTCGTCACTGGTTTCAATCCAAGTTTGGCTTGTTACTTATTGAGTACATGAGTTCGGTTGTACTCATACTACACTCTGTACTAAGTGCAGATACAAGTGTTGTTGATCGTGGTTGTTGTCCGTGAGATAGATCCGGATTAGTCTGAATTCTCGAGGTAGCACTGTTGTTCCTTCGCAGGCCTTGAAGTCCCTTACTTATCTTATGTTAACACTCTTTAGTCTTTCAGACATTATTGTACTTGATTTAGACCTTGTATTTACTTATTCTTTAGAGCTCATGCACTCAGTGACACCAGGTCGTGGGATGATTTATTTATATTGTGACTATTTACCTCGGTTAATTATCATTATTTTCATTGAGGAGACCATTTAATGTTGCTATTTTATTTTGTTTCTACTTATTGATTGATGGCTTGTCTAGTAAGCGGTGTTAGGCGCCGTCATGACTCGGTGAAAGTTTTGGGTCGTAACAGCAATGAAACCCGTTGGTAATATACTACATCCACCCTAACTAGAGGAAATAATTAAAAAAGATAAAGCTCTCTTGCATGTTGGAATCATGCTGCCTTTAACTTGCACATGCATCACAATCTTCCTGCACACAATCAAAACTACCTTGCTGGAATTAAAGCATGTTCCTTTCACGCCAAATGATGTATACTAGCATAGCAAAAATATAACCAGTGATAGAGCTGCTGCCGACTTCCTAGAAAAAGAATCACTTAAATGCTTACCTAATTCGCCCAAAAGAGGTACATAAAGTGATCTTTGCGTTAATTTTGCTCAAATCTTTCGCATTTTGTATGATACTGTTTTCATTTTTAATTAGTTTGTGCAAAACAATGACAAATTTCTCTTTTTGAAACTATGTCATCGTAGTACTATACTTTTTGATAGTAGTACTACGATTATCCTTAATAACCATATTTGTCGCTAATTTTTGTTCCGTACTAATTTTTTTTTAATTCTTAAATTTAGCGTTCAATCAAACGCCTTCTATATAAAATGGGACGGTGAGACTATTATATTTTCCTAAGGCTAAACTTCAGTTTTCTTTGCTTTTCCCCGCCAAGGAAAACCATTGACATCTGAATTAACATAACCGCCTCTTGCAAGGCCATTAATGAGTGACACACCATAGTTATCGCTCCTTATTTCAACTAATGGACCCAAATGCTCTGCACTATCACTATATAAGGAACAATATATGCTGTGAATGAAAATAAGCAATAAAGTGAAACAAATAATGTGGCTTGTTTAGGAATAATCCTGATTTTAGAATTTTCTCACAAAGTTTTTTCAGGGTTGCTTTGATAAGATCACATTGGTGAAAAGGATTGACCTTGCACCATTTAACTTCAACCATCAATCATCCCAGGAAACAAACTACAACCACCTGACTCTAACTCTTTAAACATTTCAAGATTACCAATAGAAAAATGGACGCCTACAGAGCAAAAATTAGTGTATTTTTTCTCCTTGTGTTATTCACATTTGCTGCATTAGCGACAGCAACAAACATCCCAAGAAGGCAACTTGGTAACAAGAAATACAAAGGCCCATGCCGGGCCGAAAATGCAATCGACAAATGCTGGCGATGCGACCCAAATTGGGCCGAGAATCGCCAGAAAATGGCCGATTGCGCATTGGGTTTTGGCAGCAATGCGATCGGAGGAAAGTTGGGCAGAATCTACGTCGTCACAGACCCTTCTGACGACGATGTTGTCGATCCTAAGCCCGGAACTCTCCGATATGGTGTTATCCAAAAGGAGCCATTGTGGATCATATTTGGCAAAAACATGAAAATTAAACTTAGTAGGGAACTTATCGTGACTAGCAACAAAACAATCGACGGCCGTGGATTTAATGTCCATATACAAAATGGAGCTGGCATTAAGATACAATGTGCATCCAATATTATTATTTCTAATCTCCGCATTCACAATATTGTACCCACCCCAGGTGGCCTGCTCAGGGAGTCCGAGGACCACGTTGGCCTAAGGAGTGGCGATGAAGGTATCTCGTCTTAAGATTTTAAGCTATTAGAAAGAACATATTTTTTTATTATTGAATTATATGACGTCTCGACAGGTGATGGCATCAGCATCTTCGATTCGCGTGATATATGGATCGACCACATCTCTATGTCTCGTGCAACCGATGGTCTTATCGATGCTGTTGCTGCTTCCACTAACATTACCATATCCAATTGCCACTTCACTGACCACGAAAAGGTAATGTTGTTCGGCGCCAACGATAATTACGTGCTTGACAAGGACATGAAAATTACATTAGCGTACAACCACTTTGGAAAGAGGTTGGATCAAAGGATGCCTAGATGCAGGTTTGGATTTTTCCATCTGGTGAACAATGACTACACTCATTGGGAAAGGTACACACTGTTGAATTGTCTAGCCGTCTCATTTAAATGTGATAGAAAACATTAAATTACTTAATTAATTATATTATATATGCATTGACAGGTACGCTATTGGGGGAAGCAGTGGAGCCACCATCATTAGTCAGGGTAATCGATTTATTGCTGAGGACGAATTGTTGGTGAAAGAGGTAACATATAGGGAAAAACTTACGGCGAGTGTGGCGGAATGGATGAAATGGACATGGATATCAGATGGTGATGATATGGAAAATGGTGCGACATTTACACCATCTGGTGACCAGAATTTACTCGATAAAATTGACCATCTCAATCTCATTAAACCAGAACCTTCTTCCAAAGTTGGAATTCTTACTAAGTTTTCAGGTGCTCTGTCTTGCGTCAAAGGACGCCCATGCTAAAACATTTTTCCGATTTATTTTCGGTCAACCCCAATTCACCACCAAAAAAAGATAAAGAAAGAAACTAATATTGTTATACATGCAAATGGCAGTAGTTGTTTTCTGGTTTACATTTCTTCTTTCTTTTGGTATTGGGGTGACCTAGAGGATTATTATGTTACATTTAATTCATAAGATAAAGCTATATATCATCTCTTTTGTTATTATTGACGGAAAAAATTAAATGTTTACATCAAATCAATAAATACATGACATGTGTCTTCTATCTATAATTTATACGAAATTAAAACATGTTAAAAATAAGCGGTGGATAAAATACTCCACATCGTAGATTTAAAATCTTAGATTCACATTTGGCAATTATATGCGATTTACATTAATAAACAAGCGTTTTAAGTCATCGGACGACATAAGAAAAGGCTTCGTAGAAAAGGAAGAACATAAATAAGAATTAAAGGACTAAGGTCGTATATTTCTGTTGGTAACAAGTCCTCTTCATTAAAGACTTCAGATGGATACTTTTCCATGTAAAAATTTTAGAATTAGTAATTGTAACATAGAATTAAATGGATAATGCAAGGAAAGCAAACTAAGGTTTTAAGAGCTGCGAGTGAGAATGCCATCTATTTAAAATAAAAGCTAAACGGAGAAACAAATTTATTCATATGGTATTCTAAACTCACTAGCCCGATTAATTTGGTTTGACAGTAGATAGGCGAAAGTAAAGTACTATCTATCGAAATGTTTTGGGCTTAATTATTTGTACTACTAGCTAAGGTCATGAAAATAACAGAGGCATATTGTAAAACTGTTATTTGGTCTAGAGTAAACACAATCACCAAGAGAATTTCTTCTCAAGCATGTTGGATGGTGCGGAATAGGACCAGAGATATGCTTAGTCACATAAAGCAGGGCAAATACAAGAAGAAGTTTGATCAGACATATTCTATACGGTCAAAATCGGGTTCGCCTCTTGTGCGACTAATCGAGACTGAAAAGTGAAAGTTTAAAGTTCAACCTCGAATTATATCAAACCGAGGTGCGAAGCTATATAGTTAAACTCGAGACCATGTCATCGAACAAAATCGTGATCAGACGAGATCGAGGGAAAATTACCAAGCCGAATAACAGAAGGATGAAATATCCGCAATCAGTTGTAGATCATGGCGGAAATCTCGGCACATATCAAGGATATGCTGATTGATTAGCAAATCATGAGATTTCTTACCTTGTATAGAATTGTATCAAGAGTAGGAGTCCTCTACTATATAAAGGGGGTCTGATCATTTGTAAAGGGACACATTATGCAACATAAAGCAATATAATGTCATTTTCTAGCTTTTATCATCATGTTATTCTGTTCATACATCAGTTGAGACATCTCTCGGATCAAGGGTGTTCGATTTGATAAACAGTTTGGCATAAGGTTGCTCGATTCATGTGGTTTGTATTAATTCTTTTGTCGTCAATTTCAATTTTAATCTGTTTCCATAATTTGTATCAAGTTATATCATGTATCCTTAAAACCACGTATAAATTCAATTGTTATTCGATTTTTAGGGTAATCAGTTTGGTGCCGACCGTGGGGCTAAGGATAATAGTGATTACCTCGTACAAACTTTCATAACACACACTATTTTACACTTGTTCTTTGGAGTATCTTTGCTTCCAGGACCAAAATGTCGAACTCTCAGTCAACACCCCTACACGTGGACAATGATTTCGGTCACCACGAGAAAAATGATAACATAGCACCAGGGAACAACGTACCTCCAGTTGTCCTCGATGGAGTTCCGGCTGTAGATCCAATTGACGTCAGCTCGCATGTAGCCATCAATGCAAATTTGGCCGTCGATCCCGAGAGCAGCATCCGTAGAGACATTTGATCAGCCGCTCAAAGCACACATGGCGGCGAAGAGGGAGGGATCAGCCTGCGGGTGATCTTCAAAATGTTGTAGGCTCAACAAGTAGCGATAGCCCAGCTCCAAAACCAGAATCACCCACCGAGCAGTATCGAGCCCGAGCCGTCCCAGGAAGTTGTCCATAGGGTCGAATCGGTTTCAAGGAAATCGAATGAGAAGGAATCGTGGGACGATCCTGCAATCATGAAGATACTCAAAGAAATGACAAAACGAGTTGAGTCGGGGGAAAAGAAGATCGAGGAAAATGACAAGAAGGTGGAAACTTATAACTCCATGGTCTATCAAATCCCGGTGGAACCACCAATATTGAAGGGCCTGGATTCCAAAAAGTTTATGCTAAAACCATTCCTACCGAGCGCGGCTCCCACACCGATTCCCAAGAAGTTTTGCATGCCCGAGATTCCTAAATATAATGGAACAACTGACCCAAACGAGCATATCACCTCTTACACATGTGCTATCAAAGGGAATGATCTAGAGGATGACGAGATCGAGTCTGTCTTGCTAAAGAAATTTGGGGAAACTCTGTCAAAGAGAGCTATGATATGGTACCACAATTTACCACCTAACTCTATTGATTTATTTACTATGGTTGCTGATTCATTTGTAAAGGCACATGCTGGGGCCATCAAGGTCGAAACCAGGAAGTCTGACCTTTTCAAGGTAAGGCAGAAGGACAACGAAATGCTCAAAGAATTTGTGTCTCTATTCCAAATGGAACGAATGGATTTGTTACTGGTCGCCGATGATTGGGTTGTTCAAGCTTTCACCCAAGGACTCAATGTTCGAAGTTTAGTGGCTTCGCAGCAGTTGAAGCAGAATTTGATAGAATACCCGACTGTTACTTGGGCCAAGGTTCACAATCGGTATCAATCAAAGATCAGGGTCGAAGACGACCAGCTTGGATTTCCTTTCGGGTCCGTTTATCCTATCAGGACCGTTCATAGATTCAAGAGGGACATTGACCGAGAACCAAAGTTGAACATGGATCGGTATCAGCCGTATAATGGAGATCATAGGAGCAGCGGATCTGGGTGAAATCCTATACGAAATGAAAGGATGAGTGATCGAGGCTAGAGCTCTTGAGGGCTTATGAGTAAGAACGGCTTCGACAGGCCTATCAGACCTATAGAGGCACCACGATTAACAGAATATAACTTTAATGTTGACGCAACTGGCATTGTATTGGCTATCAGATGCATCAAAGATACCAAATGGCCTCGACCTTTACAAAACGATCCAGCCCAGATAAATCCCAATCAAATGTGAAAATATCAAGGCACCCATGGCCATAGAACGGAAGATTGTCGACAGTTGAGAGAAGAAGTAGCTAGGTAACTCAATGACGAGCACCTTCAGGTCAAAAATAGGGATTCCAATAAACAAAACGAGCAAGAAGAACCTCAACACATCATTCATATGATTATTGGAGGGGTCGATGTCCCCCAAAGTCTGATGTTAAAACGCACCAAGGTGTCAATCACGAGAGAGAAACAAACTCGGGACTACATGCTAGAAGGAACCTTATCTTTCAATGACGAGGATGCAAAAGGAATCATACAGCCCCATAATGATGCACTGGTAATATCCGTACTGATGAATAAAACTCGAGTTAAGCATGTGTTAATTGATCCAGGTAGTTCGGCCAACATCATTCGATTAAGGGTCGTTAAACAACTCGGCCTACAGGACGAAATTGTGCCCGCGAATCGAGTGCTAAATAGATTCAACATGGCTTGTGAAACTACTAAGGGAGAAATAACATTACCAGTGAACGCAGTCGGGACCATCCAGGAGACCAAGTTTTATGTGATCGAAAGGGACATGAGATATAACGCCCTGTTTGGGAGACCGTGGATCCACAACAAGAGGCATGTGCCCTCGACCCTTCACCAAGTGCTAAAATTCCTAGCACCAGAAGGGATTAAAACAATCTACGGGGAGCAGACCGCCACGAAGGAAATGTTTTCCATCGATGAAGTAATTCCAATATCGACACTCTCATCGACAAAGGAGTCAGATTCGAAAGTAAAACAGGAAGCCAAATAGCAATCACAGACGATGGCCTCGACCCAACTATATAAGCAAGGGACTGACGAAGACGATGATTATGGGGTACCTTGATCCTTCATAGTCCTCGAAGATTCCGACGCTACCAAATCAACGGTCAAAGAGCTCTAGCAGGTCATACTGATCGAACAGCTACCGGATCGAAAGGTATACCTGGGCACGAGGTTAACTCCTGAGCTCAGGAAAAAACTCATTCAATTTCTTATAGCTAACATGGATTGTTTTCCTTGGTCCCATCTCAACATGATAGGAATCCCACCATAGATTACCACTCATAAACTGAGCTTGGGCCCGAAATTCCATCCGGTGAAGCAGAAAAGGAGACCCCAGTCCGAGATCAAGCATGCCTACATCAAAGACGAGGTAACTAAATTCCTTAAAATATGGTCCATCCGGGAAGTCAAATACCCCTAATGGCTAGCAAACATAGTAGTAGTCCCTAAGAAAGGGAGCAAACTAAGAAGGTGTGTGGATTACAAAGATTTAAATAAGGCATGTCCCAACGACTTTTTTCCTTTGCCTAACATCGATCGCATGATCGATGTCACGGCCGACCATGAGATCCTCAGTTTTCTCGATGCCTATTCCGAGTAAAACCAAATACAAATGAACCGGGATGATCAAGAAAAGACATCCTTCATCACAATGTATGGCACATACTCCTATAACGTAATGCCATTTGGATTAAAAAAATGCTGGTGCCACTTACCAACTCCTAGTAAACCAGATGTTCGAAGAACAAATAGGAAAATCTATGAAAGTTTACATTGATGACATGTTAGTTAGGTCCCTGCGAGAGGAGGACCATTTGAAGCATTTGCAGAAAACCTTCAGTATATTGAGGAAGTACAATATGAAATTGAATCTAAAAAAATGTACATTCGGAGTCAAGTCAGGTACATTTCTCGGATTCATGGTATCCAACCGAGGAATCGAGATCAGCCCCGACAAGATTAAAGTTGTCGAGTATATCACGGTAGTGGACAACGTGAAGGCTGTGCAGAGGCTAACCGGGCACATAGCCGCCCTAGGGCGATTCATCTCAAGGTCCTTCGATAAGAGTCATCGATTTTTCTCATTGATGAGGAAAAAGAATAACTTCACATGGACTCTGGAATGCCAACAGGCTCGGGAAGAACTTAAGCAATACTTGTCGAGCCAGCCACTGCTTCACACATTGAGGAAAATTAAACAACTGTACTTATATTTGGCAG